AAAAACACGTCAATGTGGCTGCTGCTCAGATAGGTGTCGTTTGGCGCAGCAAGAATAGAGCGAACCGCAATCAGGCGGATTTATCATGATGACTAAGCGTTTCTCCACTGCCACAAAAGGCTAAATTGCATATCACGTGATCGGACATTTTGATAGTTTTTCTTGTTATATCGCCGAGGAACAATTATCGCTAACCGTTATAGCGCGCACGTGGTTGCATCTCATTTTAGTTTTGAGAGTCTTAGTTTTCATAAGAGGAGAGAAATATTTATCCGAAAACAATGATCAAAAGGAATCTTGTGCGGAAATATTTTTTCAAAACCCGCCATATTCACCTTGCTCAATATCTTCAATATCCTATCTTCCTCAAAATACAATTCTGAAATCTAATTGAGGTACACATAGGGATAAGCAAGATCGAATTTGGGGAATATTGTCAGTTTGCAAAGAACAAATTGATAATAGCATTTCTTATTAATTTTGGTGAATTAACATAATATTGAGCGCGATAACTGAAATATCCCCAAAATGTAATTTGTAAACTGGAACTGTGGGCGTGATCACGTGCTGTAAGGCGATTGCGAGAGCTGGTACAATAAGTCACCGGTAAAGTTTCCACTGTTCCCTATCGTAGCACAGACAGACATTGTAACGCTATAACCGAAATCAACTGAATCTTATTCAAGAAAGCGCATATGCTCACAGTTTCACAAAAATTAAAGTTATTGGTACATTCAACTTTGTAGCCTGCAGCCTCGGGTTTCGCGGTACTTGTCATAAACGGAACAAATGGCACTCACTAACATTTATGATTATTCACTCCTGTTATGCCAAAAGTATGTATTTATAATTTGGCTACTAGTGAAGAAAGTACTGCTAAGTATGAAATTTTGGCCCTAATTATCTCCTAATATATCCTGACCACAGCGCGGGAAAATGTGCGGGCTACGTAACTTCCGTTACCTTATTAGTCGCCATGAATATGTAGATGAGCTAGTTCAGGTCGAGAGAGAAAGTTTATTTGGGAAACTGCCGGTCATATCGCTGTCCATTGACAGATGGGGGTAAGGCAATAATAAAAAAATAAAAAGATACCAGAAGTAAGTATCAATGCGATAATGACCCCTAACTTGCAGCAGACGGAACATTCCGAGGAAATCATTGAAATTGTTTACGGAGCGAGCACTTCCTGGTTACTGATTGTCATAACAGACACCCGCTAAAAGGCGTGTCCCGCGTGAGCGACCGGTAATCACAAATGCCGCGATACGATGAATGCCGCGGTACCACGAGGTCAGAGTATACACGGAATATGCCAGAAATAACATGAAAAAATGGCGATAACTGGTCGCTAGCTTCGACGTGTACACTTTCAAGTGTATCCAGTCCAGAATGACATGTTGACATGTTTTAACTGTTCGAAAATAGGGTATGTGAAAATAGGAAGGCGGATGCCCCGATGCACACGCGACCCGCCAGTCACGACCGTGGGTGATTTTACATAGCGCTTTAATTACTTTCGTGGAGGTCGCGGGTGACAGCACAGCCACGGTGATTGAATTAATTAGTATCAAGCGCTTCACTGAGTACTGCGGACCGCACCGTCTCGCGTACAAGAGACGGCAGAGCCGTCACGCGTACACGTTACGTCTGTGACTGTTTATCACCTGTTGGCATGGATGGCCTAATTATCAAAGGCCCTACAACTTGCTGTGCATAGTTGCATCTCTTGGGCTTGACAGAAACCGATGGTCGTGGGTTTGAATCGAGGGTAGCATCATACACTTGCTTGTGGGTTTCATCAAAGTGGTAAACATGTAAGACCTGCATCACTTCGGGCTTTCTTCCCACATCAAGCTTACATGCCGTGATATAACTGGAATACTGTTCAAAGAGGCGTTAAACCCAATTCACTCACGGCTAAATGACAAGGATTATAGATTAATCAAATCTCACTTCTCAACTAGACAAACCAGAGATTAATGTTATGAGCTCAATCCAGATGCACCGATGATGACTGTTATGGACAACATCCCACGTTATTGGGTACGATTACGAGCTTTCAATGAGCCCACTTGCTACCTCATCTATTACTTTGGCTTGTATGGCAAGCATAGGTTGCTAGGAACATTTTTAAGAGATGTCAGTTAATGATTGTTTCAACTCATCAGCATGGAACAATATATATCTCAAATGTTTGGTATATAACAAAACTCAAAGATGATAAATTAAGTGAATTTGCTGCCTTTTATCTGTAAGTACATGTTGCAACAATTCTTTTCTTTTGCTACAATCTTTATACATAATTTTGCAGAAACTGAAGTCCAGCTTGAGATACCCGGATGACAGGTTGACAGTCTGGAAGGACCCTTCCAGATATCCGAAGTGATTGGCAGACAGCGATGAGGAGAGTCCTGTTATTTCAATGGGAGCCTACCGAGAAGTTATATGCCAATTGGCACTGGGACACACTCACAAAGGGTGGTCAGGCTAATGTGAGAAGACCACCCAATGCCAAGTCGGAGTGGGACCCTTCAAGGACGTTGAAGAAATTATTGTCTTTGGCCATGTGGTAATCACTTGAAAGGAATGATGTTTGCGACTACTTGTCTATAAATGTGGACCAAAACACCAAATAGAATGTTCACAATTCTACTAACACAATGCAACAGGGATAGAGCTCATCTGGCCTCCCCTCATCCTGGTTCCTGTTTTTCCATGGCAATATAGACGGAAAAGGATGTTTGAGGGCAAGTAACTCTGAACTGGTGAGCATGGTCTGCTGATGCTTTCAAGCGAACAGTTATCCCGCTCTGTTATGAGCATTGAAGAATAGGAGGAAAGTGCATACTGCATCAGGAACCATTATGTGAACACTGTTCAATGTGTGATATATGCATATAAATAAAAGAAATTAATAATTTGTTTGTTGTTTGTTTCTTTAGCCAGCTGTGTAAATGGGGATTTTCCAATATTTTGCCTCAGTTTGATAGCCACAGTTATTGTATAAAACCATGCATTGCTTGGACATCTTTGGAATAACACATTGATCTGCTATGTCAAAGGTCAATGTCACAGCCAGACAAAAAAATTGTTAATGGCCAAACTCTTCCTTAGGGCAGGGATAGAAGTTGGCAACAGGTCATACACTTACTTTTTATCCCCCGGCATATAATACGGGGGATATAGTGATCAGCCTGTCTGTCCGTCTGTCCGTCCGTAATCATTTCCTTTTCCGGGGCAGGATTCCCAAACCATTCAGTGTATTTGATCGAAACTTGGCAACTCTTATCAGGCACATACTGAAGTGGTGCCTTTTGATATTTTGGGATTTTTCTAATTTTTATTTTTTTTAATTTTTATGGAATGAAGTTGGACATAGACTCAATTGGGGATGGGGTTCGTTTCCGGGGCAGAATTCGAAAACCATTCAGTGTATTTGATCGAACCTGGCAAAGCTATCATGCACATACTGAAGTGGTGCCTTTCAAATTTGGGATTTTTCTAATTTTTATTTTTTTATGGAATGAAGTTGGACATAGACTCAATTGGGGATGAGGTTCATTTCTGGGGCAGAATTCGAAAAACATTCAATGTATTTGATCGAAACTTGGCATTCATATGGATGCGACCATGGTGGATCTTTTTTGGGTAAACAATGTATGCTTCTTAAAGAACATTCAACTGTTGACTCATTACATACAGAATTGCACTAGTGGTTACTTTACAGACAGCTGCCGGGGGGATATGTCATCTTTCTGATGACTCTTGTTCTCTAATGTGCCTTTTCCTGCAGAAGTCTAAATAACTCTTATACATATAGTTGTATATCATTGTCATATGTTTGTCAATATTACACTGAATGAAGCGCTTTACAATTGTTTTTGAAATAGTCGCAACTGATATTGAAGGTCAAATTAGCTTTCAATGTCTTTCAGTAAAAATGTTCAGTAACTGAGGAACAGCTCTCTGTAGTGTGATGAAATCTGGTACATGTCACCCTCAGAGTGAGGCATATTGTGTTTCAAACTTAAATGAAGCTGGTATGCTCATAACAAGTACTTGTACCTTTACAAATAATCATATTATCATCTCACTAGGACCAAAGGCCCAAGTGAGCACACAGTCGATGAGTTCATACTTTCACTCAGAATAATCTGGAAGTCTGAACATGAAATTTAAGGATATCATCATACATGTATTAGAACTGATGTTTGTTCATTAAACAGCTTAACATCTAAAAAGAATTATAGATGAAATTGAAAAAAATTGTCTTCTCCAAAAGTACATGCCCATAGATCTCAACTTTAAGGGGATATTTACAACTAAAATGACACAGAATATTACTACAGCTATCTGATATGCCCAGGCTAACATTATTTACCAGAAATAAGACATCTCGAAAAATTGCATCCGGATACCTGCCGGATACCTGCCGGATACCTTCAGCAATGTTCAATTTTCATGGTTAGTTTCCAATATATATTTAGGTGTTTCACACTGAATTGAACAAAATGCACCCCCAAATTGTGACATGTTTTTGGAAACTCAGAATGAGGTATCCGGTGCCGGATTCTTGGTATCCGGTGCGGATCCTTGGACACCCAGATTGAGGTATCCGGTGAGGTATCCGGTGCCGGATACCCGGATTCCAGGTGGCATACTTTCAGGTGAGGTGTCCATGCCGGATACCACGGATCTGGTATCCGGCAAGGTATCTGCCACCGGATACCCGGACGCGTTTTGGGTAAGTGTCCGGTGGTATCCGGCAGGTATCCGGATACCGGAAACTGCATTTTTTTTGCTGTGGATAATCTTCAAAGTCAAATTGTTATAAGATAACGTTGTCTGCCCCAACATAAATATCTATTTCGCAGTTTATTTTATCCTGTTTGCACTTACCAATATTTAACCGAATATTAATTGGTTTTGTAATCGGAGCATGGCAAATTGTAACACATTTCTGAGTAAATACTAATAATATAATATTCCATTTCCAGCTCTCATTGCTGTCCTGTTCCCGGATAAGAAGGAGGCAGCCTTTGCTAATTTCCACTCATGGAAATCCTTTGGATTCACTCTGACCCTTGTACTCAGTAACTTTCTGTGTTTGGAGACAAAATTGATTTCCGCGCTGGTACTGTTAGCCTTGTCTATGTCGATGTATACAGGCGTAGAGTTTTATGCGAAAGTTCATCAGAATGCATCAGCCACCGCTACTGTCCACCCTGTAACTTTAACAGCTGTCACATCACGGAACACAGATGAGCCCAGGAGAACATGATGTACACCTCCGTTATCGTCATTTTGTATAATCGGAGCGTCGATGGCCATGTCGGCCAGGGCGCTGATACAAGTTGTACATATTTGCTTCCCTTGGGCATGCCAGGATCCTATGATTGAAGGGTTACTGTGTTATAGGGTCAATTAGGGCATAGTGAATGAGGTATCACTTTGTCCATTGTGGCTTCATGGAGCATCTTTATTTGGAACGCCTATATTGAGAGTTCCGGTCATGAACTGTTATTAAAGTAAGAAGAATTCCTTTAGAAATTGTACTCCGTTTTAAACATATTAGAGTCTTAGTCTTGTAGGCTTAGTCAATGACTGACGTTCTACAACAATGGGGTTTATCGTATCACAGACGGAATCGCCTTCATTGCTTGTGTCATTGAGTTTAAACATTGTGAACTGTAAACATTGTGAATATAACCAATTTCTCCATATCTCCAAACAATATGTTGTTTGGAGTCTTTGATAGGCATTTAGAACTTTGAAGAACATCAACACATACCACCTTTAATGGAAAGCACCTTCTTTTAGTCTTTGTCACGACGTTTCAGAGGTACTTCTTGCTCCTTCATCAGGTGAATGCTGAGTATGTAACGACAAACTACTTAGGCTCATCGTTTTGATTTTAAAATGTTTTTTGCATCTGTAGCTGATACATTATTCAGTCTCCATACAAAAGCCCAAGCCCCCCCCCCCCCTCAGTATATTAGACAGTCGGTCCCTTAAAGGTGGTTTGATGACGAGTTTGAACAACTGAAAAAACACACGATCGTTCACTGAATAGTTTAAGCAAACATAATGATGGTCCAACGTTTGAAAAATATAATAGAATCAGGAATGTGAATAATGGTACATGTAAATAACAAAGAAGAGAATATTTTGGGCATAAACAAAAATGTTTAGAACGATGCATTATTGAATCGTAGTTGTTTCGGTCCACCCTTACATATTTGAATATACACAATCATGGTTTTCAAAACAATATCAGAACCATTGAATGGTTTTATAATTTTAGAAATAATTTTGCTTCTAATGGCGTGAATAACAAAAGCGATTTCAATCCTGTGCCACCCAATGAGAACGAAAATCAGCCTTACACTTACACACCATATCACAAGATGTTCTGGACACAAAAGATGAAAATCTTGACAGCATTCAAATCTCCTTGGACTGATTCTGTGTTAATAATTATTTAATCAACCAAGTCAGCAAACCTGACCACCCGATGCCGTTTGTCGCCTCTTACGACAAGCATAGTCGCCTTTTACAGCAAGCATGGGTTGCAGAAGACCTATTCTACCTCGGATCTTCAGGGGTCCCCAGAATGAAAGAATTCTTTGCATGAAATGTATTGAATAGAAACAGCGAATACAATCAGAATGACTAATGTGCCTTGTGTATTACAAATACGAGGGAACGAGTTCGTGATTATTGCAGTTTTATGTCGTGAATGCACATGCGTACTCATCCAGACTTATGCCTGTTTTATAGTGCGAATTGACATACCGTGTTCGTTCCCCACATAGGTGCAATGTGTGAAGCCCTTTTCCGGTGTACCTCGCCTTGATATTGATAGGATATTGCTAAAAGCGGAGTAAAACCATAATCACTCACTCACGACTCAGTGTTTTTTAAAGAATAAAATGAATTACATGTATCAAATGTCGATACCGAGGAACGTCACACCAACCAGGCGTCATGTTTGTGACATCATGATTATATGGATGACGTCACATTGTATTGTTCTCAAGATAGAATCAATGTGACCTCAAATCGATTCAACTGACCAATCAGTATTGAGAATAGGTAACATGCGCTTCTGCAAATATCAGAGAGTCATTTAGGAGACTTTCGTGTTTTCAAACTAGCGAGGTTTATTTAGTTTTCGATGCTCAGAAATTCCATAGAACCGTAAACCTGGAACCGGCGGTGTTAGTCGAAGGTTTCAAAGTCTATGTAATAAGATCCTTGAATTGAGTACTAAACCCGCACAACTGAAAACCCATAATTGTTATTGGCACTGTAACATACAGAAAATTTAAATCATTTTCTGAAGCACCCTTTCTCAACCTGAACTCTCTATGTTGTCCTAATAAATATTGATCCAACATAATATCTAATTAACGTGGTATCGCCGTGTTACACGTTTTCTTAAACTTGGGATATATACGATGTGAAGGAAAGTATTCATGCCCTGTGAATAGTGCATGACATTTCATACTTTTAAGATTGAAACACACTCTCCTGTTCGTAACAAGAGATCTCTGCATCCTTTTGGAACCTCTTGGTGTCAGTGGTCTCTTGACAATATAAGATACCATCGAGCAATAACAAATACAAACAAATACAATTTAGTATACATACTGTTCAATGTGTTACATGTGCTAACACACATGAGCATAGACGGACGAACACACATTAACATACACGGACGAACACAAATAAACATACACGGACGAACACACACCACACACAGACATACACACAGACAGACATGCACACACATACACAGAGACATACACACACAACACACAGACATACACACATTCATACACACAACACACACAGACATACACACATACAACACACAGAGACATACACACAGACACACACAACACACGCAGACAGACATATACACACATACAACACACAGAGACATACATGTACACACAACACGCACAGACATACAACACACAGAGACATACACACAACACACACAGACATACACACACAACCAACAGACATACACACATACATACACACATCACACACAGACATACACACATACAACACGCAGAGACATACACACAGACACACACACAACACACGCAGACAGACATACACACACATACAACACACAGAGACATACACACAACACACACAGACATACACACATACACACACATACAACACTCAGAGACATACACACAGACATACACACACAGCACACGTACACAGACATACACACACAACACACGTACACAGCCATACACATACATACACAAAACACACACAGACATACAACACACACAGCACACACAACACACGCACACAGACATATACACACATACAACACACAGACATACACACAACACACGCACACAGACATACACAGTGTCACACAGACATACACACATACAACACGCAGAGACATACACACAGACACACACCACACGCAGACAGACACGCGTATGAACATAAAATCCGAGCACACATACGATAACAAGAATACTAAAAGAAAGCAATCACATTTATTATTAAAGTACAATTTACATTCCTATAAATAGAACATGTCAAGAGGGGTTAAAATAGTGCTACTTTCTTGTAATGTTATCAGGTATGTATCGCAAACAGTAGCCATTGTTACTCTCGAATAATGTAAAAATTAAGGTTTCTAGATATAAGTGATTTAGTGAATGTCGTATAACGTCGCCTTTAGCAATATTCCAGCTGCCATGACGACCTGTACACGTTAGTCTTCAAGTCTAAATCCTGCGTAATATTGCATGAGCAAACAAGGACAGACAATCTGCGAAGTCATATATTGCAACCACCCAATCCTCCTTTCGGTCAACTTGAACAACAAGCATAGAATACTTAGGGCCTCTTCTTCTCCAAGAACACTCATTAGGACATCACGACACACAGTCAATCCTGTTGAATACTACGACCACCAATGCTTTCTCAGTTTAGTCGACTGTTACCACAGACATAGGGTACTACATAGGGACCTACACATTCCCTGATCCCCATAGGGCTTACTACTAGAATATATGATGGTTCTGATGCCGATCAACTTCGAGATAAACACTGGGAAAAACAACCACGACATTACCAGAGAAGACTTCATAGATGCTGGTCAAATATTTCACACTCGATCTACAATGTTGTGAGTGTACTAAACAGAACATGTAGCATTGTTTAGTAAGCGACCAATTATTTGATATTCTGGTGTTCGGGGAATAATGTGGCTTCAGGTTTAAAAAGAAATACATTTTTTCGCTGGTTTGCTGGTTGTCCTAACCAAATGTGAGAAAAAAATCCTTTTTTATCTCTTCAAGCAGTGACCGGAAGAAGATGTCTCCATTTGGTCCGGTGTTTTTGCAGGTGAACAATTAACTTGCCTTTGCGTGTGTTTGTGACGGGTGACATCGTGGGATAGGATACGCTCACTTCGCGGACACCTGGTATCATCACTGTTTGATAATGTTTAATAAATATTACAATTGACCCTGCTTTCAGCAGAATTTTCTTATGATTATGGAAAGGGTTTTGGCGCTTTTATTTGTTTTCAGTTAAACCTAAATTGACTTCCATCACACAACATATATCGAACATATATCATATATATATAGATATACTTTGAAATGAGAAGCCTATATCTTTTGTATATTGACGCCCTAGTGTCGCATGTTGGAGAAGAACTACTTTCGCATATTGGGGACTTTCTTTCAGATACTGGCACCCTATTACAGGCCAAGTACTAAGAGTGAATCCATATAGTAATACCTAAATTACTGAATAAAGATATAAATACTCGCAATGTTTTCATTCAATTTATTACATATTAAATGTGACTCTAGCTCCGTCGCATTCCACAACGAAGTGTACAGTTTTAGATTCTGTACATTGCTCGGGTTACTTGACGTCACCGAAGTAAAGTCTGTGTGGTGCTGTAAAAATATATTTCTAACATTTAACTAAAACCTCGTGCGTTATATACATGACTTAGACTAGTGCTGTTGCTTTTAACGCTCTCTACACCATGAGGCGTTCATATCAGGGGAGAACAATTATTTGAGATTTTCCTACTTCGCGCTCAACGCATGTCTGGAGAATAATTGTAGATATTACATATTATAGCTAAAATGGATAGAATTATCATTAAACCGCCCGCATGTTATCAGAAATCAGCGGGCCACTGTAACTTGATAATGCCCTCATATTGCTTGATGACGGGCCATTGTCACGCCCGTTGTTAGGTGACGTCATAGGATAGGGATAGGTGACGTCACGTTGAATAGTGACGTCATCTTGTTTGTCTCCATATTTGTAAAAGTGGGTCAGTGATATTGGTGTAGATTGCAGTAAATGTTTCAAAACCGATATTGTATGTATCTTTTTATTTGATAACAAATTCCATTCATTTTAGCTATACTGACGGTAACGCTATTTTTCAGGGCATTATCATTTGCAGAAGCCCTCGGTCTTTTCAACTGCCCTCCTTCGTCGGGCCGTTAATGGAAGACCTCGGGCTTCTGCAAATGAATGCCCTGAAAAATGGCGTTACCCTTATAATAGCCGCGTGCAATGGGTTGATGAATGACTATCTGTTCCGACGATGTGATGCCGATGCTCGAGGACATTAACACACGCGTATGCCTTAGTGCATGCTCAAACTACAGGCGGAATTGTACATTTGACTCTGCGTTTAGGAAAGATTTTCTTCTGAGTGTTGAAATTGGTTTGTCGTTTTGTTTAAAAATAACATTCCCGGTCCCCTCCACAGAATATACCTTCCCCATATACACCAATGGCGGATCTATACCTATCAATTAAACATACATGTTCTGAAGGAAGACAAAGTCGAGTCATGCTTTCAGGTTGTGACCACTCAGCCAAAGTGGTTTCGCGAACACCTGGGTGAGGTGAAATAGATTATTGCACTTATATAGCGACGTGCTTGTACGTGTGTGTTTTTGTGTGGCTGGTTGTACTAGTCCGGACTGATGCCGATTTACAGTGCTAGCTCACTGAGATACCATGCCGCAGTTTAACATGAATACCCCACTCAGACACAGTTTACTGACTCCGAGCCGACCAGTCCTTGTTTTAGCCCCTTAATGCCGAGCGCCAGACAGGGTAACAACAAGTACCATCTTTCAACGTCTTTTGGTATGACGCGGTCGGGGATCGAACCCCGGACCTTCCGCTCTCCGGGCGGACGCTCTACCACTAGACCACGGATGTGGTCGCGAACACCTGGTGTCATCAATGATTTTCAGTGATCCATTCATATAATGTTCGCAACTCAACGGCTTTAACGTCCAATGGATTCTGTTGCGGCAGATATCGAGACTTATTTTTCTCTGGAGTTGACGTTTTTTTAATAAAAACAATATATTTTGCGACGTTATTAATTTAAAGTGTCATCTATGCAATTTTATTAAAATTATTATAAAATTATGAAGAGGCCAAAATGTGTTACAAGGAAGTTTTCGATTCTTTTTTGTCCTCCATTTTAATTTCCGATTTGGTGACGTCACTTCCGTGAGATCTCCTGTTATAAATCTCCACACCAGTGTACATCGTCATACCAACCACTAGCAGGCTCATGACGAATATCAGTTTGGTCTTCAAACACAGAAAGTTACTGAGTATAAACGTTAGTGTGAATCCGATGGCTTTCCAAGTGTGGAAGTTAGCAAAGGCTGGCTCCTTCTTCTCCGGGAACAGGAGGGCAATGAGGGCTGAAATGAAAGATTTTGTTACATTAAGCTACTTCTCAATCGATATGAAACTTGTGAAAGATTGCATGCATCATGATGTGAACTTGTCATAGGTCAATACGTAGTTGGTTTGATGTTTACTACACAGCATTTCTTAGGAGAGTGCATAATGTTGGACTGTTCGTGATAATTGGGTAGCATTGTTTTTGCATGTATTTCTTTGTTTGTTTGTTGCTGTGTTGTTCTCTGTTCAACGCAGCACTCCGTAATATTTCAGCTATATGATGGCGGTCTGTAAAATAATCGAGTCTTGACCAGACAGTCCAGTGATTGATATCATGAGCATGCACCCACGCAAATGGGATACGATGACATGAATCAACCAAGTCAGAGAGCCTGACCACCCGATCTCGTTAGTCACCTCTTACGACATGCATAGTCGCCTTTTACGGCAAGCATGGGTTTCTTAAGACCTATCCTACCCCGGATCTTCACGGGTCTTTTTTTAAAAGGACAAGGTATGATAAAAATCCTACAGCGTACAGAATCCCCCCTTCCTTGTGAGTGATATTCATTTGTATATACCAGCATATAAGCGGGGTTTCCGGATTAAAGACATGTTCACTAATAGGAAAGTTAATCTGGTAAACTTACAGTTGGATTGTGTTTGCCAAATACCTTCTCCAAGACCCCATGCAACCGGAATCAAGAAGAGATAGGTTGTGTCCTCACTTGTCGGGGTCCATATGTACAGAACTACAAACACCCCGCCTTGTAAGACAGCAGCAGTGAAGAAGAGAATGTAACGTCCAATGTACTTCGCAATGCGACTGAATACGAAGGCACAGGAAGCAGTGGCTGCCCCATACGTTGCCATGATGAAACCAACCATGTGTATTCCGATAGTACAGCTGACATAGGACTGCGAAGAGAATAGAAAAATTCATCACTCATTTTACACCGGACAGAGAGTGAGTTAATATGTAACGTCACATGGGGAAAATGGCAGTATAGAATAATGCATGCATTACATAACACGTTTTTTAACCTCGTGTATTTCTGTAATAACAAATATGATGTATTTGGAATAATATATATTTTAAATATTTTTTCATATAGATATCGTTTATTCCTAACATATGATACTTTACGATACGGAAACATGGGTAATAATCATTGGATGGGTGGGGAGTGAAGCAGTGAATGAATCATTTGGTTTAACGACGGTTTTAACAATCTGGCTTAGCATGACGTCAAACAATTTATGAGGTCAAATGTTATCATGGGGACTTAACAACCTGATCAGAAAGTGCAGAGAAGACATGATAAATCTGAATGTACATTTTATGAATTAACATATTATGTTGGTTTCAAATTTTGTCTGAGAAGGAAAATAACATGTCGAGAAATGCTAACTTGCTGCAGCCGACCCTTCATACGATTTATAGATCTTACAATTTTATAAGTTCTTGATCAACAATGCTCAATCTCATCGGGGCGGTCGGGTTGCCAAGTGGTTAAAGCGTTCGCACGTCACGCCGAAAACCAAGGTTCGATTCCCGACATACGAACAATGTGTGAGGCCCATTTCTGGTGTCCCCCGCCTTGATATTGCTGGAATATTACTAAAAGCGGCGTAAAACCATACTCAATCTCATCATGATACAATGACTAAAACAACTCCAACCTACCCTTGTGTAGTCTCCCCATAGAATAGCTTGTTCCACCGCCTGGAACATGATGAAAGGAACCAGGAATATCAGCTTGCTCTTGAAGAGGGTCACAAAGAAGGAACTGAGAGATTGCTTCAAGCTGGCGTTGCTACTCCAGTTACTTTTAGGCAAAGGCGGTAGGAAGAAAACTGTGACAACCAAAGCAATGACATCACACCCAAGGTAGATGCCTAGTAGAATGTACACCACGCTTGTCTCTGGGGTGGCTATTTCACTTCCATTCACTGACAATGGACAATATTCCGGTCCACACACGGCTCCCCCAGTCACATTACTGTAGGTTCCTGTTTGCAGAACCAGTGATGATACAAGGTTCCCTGTTATTTGTGTCGTTTCAAACAGTGTGAAGAACAAGCCGTTCAGCTTGCTAAGAACATCGTACTCGGTCTTGTCTGTAGATTTGGCAAGGGAAAAGGCACACACAGATATGTAGATGCTCTGACCAGTCCACATGAAGCCCGATATGGCACCAAGGAGGATGGAGGATGGAATCAACGTGTAGAATGTTGGGTAGAAGTTCGAGCCTGTGTACAGGATGTGACATATCCATGACAGGATCAGAGACTTTTTCACTCCAAGAAATTTGATCACAGCCGGAGCTAAGATTCCAGAAAATATTATACATGCGTACAAAACGCTCAGGGAAATGATGCCAAGATCTGCTGCCTGATTCAAGCTGCTCTGCAGATTCTGGATTGCCATATAAGCTGTGAATGCTGCGAAGAATGCAACGGAAAGAACAACCGAACCTCTGGTTTCTTTCCCGTCAAAGGACGACGCCTGTTTTCCATCTTCTTGACCCATGGTTGTCCCTGTATCTTGAATCCTGAAGAATAGAAAATGGGATTTTTATCTGCAGAAAGACACCGAGCTGCCGTATTCTACTTTATACCGAAGCGGGTAGTAATGTGTCGGCTTGGTCAATGCCTGTCCCTTGTCGCCTGAATGTGTTCTCAAATACGTTATTTATTATATACATGTAGTATGATGGTACGTATCCTTTAATTCCTAAAGGCTTGTATACCCACACGTGATACTCCAAAGTTGATATTTATATGGTACTCAAAGCTGTCATGCGAGGCAATGACTAGGCATATATACTATGATGAACGAGAGCATCAAGTCAATATATATGCTGACTTCTAGAACCAGTTCTGATTTTATCTTCTGGTAAACATTTCTATTCCATCAACAGTAAACGGAATGTTATGAATGAAATACTAATATGACCATGACAAGTCTGCAAGATAGAATATAAACAATAACTAATACTATGTGAGGGAGTGGATGTTGTTTAACGTTTAATAATTAAATTTTCGTTGTGTTCATGGAAATTCCTGCACTCTGATTAGCTGAATTGGTCACGTGTTATTGCATTCATTTCCAAATGAATGTAAAAAAATGAGCCATGCCCGCCGCGGCGCACTACTTTTATTACTGCGGAATGTCGGGGAATCCAAATATTACAGTCGAGGGAATTCCCTTTCTGCTCACGTGTATCGTCATGCACAGGGCATTTAGCGACTTTCATGCATATTCATTATCCAAACTACCCTTTGAAAGGCCGAGAATGAATGAAACAGCAAACGTGCAGGCTCGCTCGCCTGTTTTTTTCCCGCTCGTTTCGGTTTAACTTTCATGTCTTCGGGTTTCATTTCTAACTAGCATTTCTCCAGCTGTGTTTTACCGTAATCAGGGATGTAATGTTTGGATCACGCAGTAAATGACCATGTTATTTGAAACAGCCGCCTTCTCTCGGACATATTTCTTCCGGTTCGTTACAGTCTGACTGTTGCAGTTCCTTTCGCCTCTTGCCTTAATTGACAGGTCAAATGAACATTGTTTTAAACCCACTCTCCGTTGATTGGCTACTGACTGTGTAGACGTGTCAAATTATGTGCATAAATTAAACGATCACCTGATTCATGTCACGCCACTGTATGTATTCCTACACCTGGAATGTTTATCAATGTCGTCATTTTTGTCTGTTTTGATATATGCAACTGTTTTGGGTTAAACTATTGTAGATAAAACATGTTTTACGTTGTTGAATTTAATTATAAGCATTGACGGTATATGTTTTTCGGTTCATTGAGGTATGAATCGAAAAACCGATGTGCAAACTTTTGTAAGAATCCGCTACGCGGATTCATACAGTTTGCACATCGGTTTTTCGATTCATACATCAATGAACCGAAAAAAATACACAGTCAAATCATTAAATGATCCAGTTATGTCAGCGCGATCTGCAAATGATAATGATTACATTTCTACGCATGCCAGTATGCTCAACATTATTTCTCCGTTCAGTGGATCATTGTGCACTCGAGTTTCATTCTCAGCTCCCTGGGGAGTATACACATAATCCTAGGCCAGGCAAAAACAACGATCGAGAGGATTACAACAATCACGATAACGAAACATAGTCATCCAGGTTACACACTGAAAGTCAAAATGGTGCCAGGCTCTGTACCAAGCTGTACGACAAGAAGGATAATTTAGATTTTCCAATCCTAAATTTCCCCTTCATGTCGAAAAATGTACCGTTACCACCGGCTTATGCCACCTTCGTCTCTGAACTCTCTACCGTACTTTGTATCATGTATTCAAATCTCACAGAGAGAAACAATTTGCTTACAACTAGTTTCCAGTCAAGATTTCTCCATCAAAGGCCTGGTTAAATCATTCCAGAAAGCTTTTGGTTGACATTCAAAACAATTTACATAATTTACACAATACACCACGCTTGTGATCATGATTCCCAATGCCATGACAATTACACTGCACATGTTTTTAGTGAAAATTGTGTTAGTGGCGGGTGCAACTGTTAGAGAAGGGCATGCTTACCCTTTTCCCGAACACCTGGTTTCCTCGTTGATTTTCAGGGAGACATTCAAATAATGTTTATCGCTATTTTGCCTTTACCGCCCTATGGGTGGGTTTCGTGACTAGTTTCTGATTAGTTTCCGGCGTTGGCGTTTTGAATAACATCGTGGCATTTCCCATTACCCTATCAGTGCAACCATTGTGTACGTACCATATTCTGCACCGAAATCACTATGGAGTTGCTGAATAGTTTCAAACAAAACAACGCTGTAAATCTAGTATTATTTATGGGCACATAATAATAATAATACCTTATGTGTTTTATAGCTACAATTATTGCCTCTCACAGGAATAAAGGTACGATACGGCTTGTTACTGTAATGTATGCCCACGTTAAATTACACTGTACACTGCAGCTGTTAGCATTATGCTTAAACATTAGTGTTAAGCTTTGAGTAAACGTCAGAAAGGAACAAGAAGTATTCTATCACAGAAACGAATACCTTTCTATCTAGTGGATAGAGCTTCTCACCTAAACCTCACAAACAAAAATTAAATTTACATTTATACCATTCTTTGCACATTCATGGACAAAGTACATTTTATAAGCTGTTAATAGGTAAACGTTTCACTGTATTGTATCATTTAGATAGCTATGTATATACATACAGGATCCTTATATATATTATATATTATTTCGTATGTTGTTCCTGTATGTTGTATGTTTCAGAGCGGGCACGGGTAGCCCGGTTGTCTAAGGCGCCGCGATTCACTGTGCAGAGCTGCGTCCCTTGGGCACGCCAGAAACCTATGACTGTGGGTTCGAATCCCGGTTCGCCCCGATTATGTTTCTAGGTTTGTCAGCACCATACTCGTGTTTCACCGAAGTGGTGAACGTCTGAGACCTGCATCACTCCGGACTTTCCTCCCACATTAAGCTGACAAGCCGTGATATAACTGGAATACTGTTAAAAGCAGCGTTAAACCCAACTCACTCACTCACTCACTCACTCACTCACTATGTTTCAGAACCGATGTTCAGTATCATAGTTTTATTCTTTACAACTGATTTTACGCGATATGTCTCTCTTGTCTGTACCATTTTCTTGTATATTAATTTTATTCCCCATTAAAAGTGCTGAGTATCACATGCAGCCAATCATATTCAATCTTGGCCATTTATTTCTACCACAACCAACTCCACATACCTTGACTGGCCCGTCTAGACTGGCAGTTGTCCTGCTTGATATAACGGTAAACCCAAATGCAAACAAAACAGGGTCAGTACCGGCGTGTCATCGGAGAATATGTTTTATAGGAAGACAATTTTTATTACCAACTGTGTATATGTCAAAGGAATATGTCACCATATTTAGATCTCTATTTTTGTCACTTGCTGCGCTCCTTCCTACGTCATATGTTGAATATGTATCACGTAAATTATTCAAGATATAAACCTGTCTTAGTTGTTACCGTTGGATACTCTACTTGACCCAAAGAAAATGCGACCCCCCCCCACCCCCCGACACACATACAACCCCCAGACCCCCCAAAACCCAAACCAACAAACCAGCCCCCCCAAAAAAACAACCCAAAAACAAAAAAACAAAACAACAACAACCCTAAAACAAAACAAACCAAAATGACAATAAAACAACGACAACAAAAAAACAACCACCCTTAAAAAAATCCCAAAACAACAACCCCGAAACAACTAAAAAAACTTTGCACACACCATAAATCAGCAAAATGATGGATTCAAATAAAAAATAATTCATGTTTAAAAGATTGAATTTGAAATGTTAAAAACAGAGTGAGTGAGTGAGTTAGTTTAACGCGACTTTATTTGATCACGGGTATGGTGCTGACAAACCAAGAAACATTCAGGGCGAATTTGTGTTCGATATAGGTTCATGGCACGCTTAAAGGACGCATTGTTATATAAACTACATAGTTAGTAGTAATAAGTGAGTAATGATTCCCAGCCCAAGATCATCTGAATAATAAGCTGTCTCTCTATTCCCTATTCCTGCCATCTCTCTCCCTCGCTTCCATTCTTGCTCTTTTAACTCTTTCTCTTCCCTCACTCTCTCCCCTCGCTCTTTCTCTCTCTTGCTCGTTTTGTCCCCACGCACTTCATCACTATCCCAAGCTTTCTCTCCACCCCTCTCTCTCTCCACCCCCCCCCCCCCCCCCCCCCCCCTCTCTCTCTCTCTCTCTCTCTTCCTTTCAACATCCGCGCAACTTCAAAATACAACATAGATGTTGAATTTTATAGTGTGGAACTCCAGGGACATTGAACATATGGGGCAACTGTGGCAACTGAAAACAATCGCTTGTCCTTGACTGAAGTGTAGCCCGGACCCTTAATCACGAGTGTCAAAATCCACCAGCAAGCAACTCAAGTCCACATTTGACCTCCTATCATCGTGCTAACACGGCCTTGCAGCCACACCCTAGGTAAATACACTGTATGTTATTTGGTGATAACATACTGACAAACAATGACTTATATACCTATATTTCCATAAATCATTTACCTATGTACTTTGTCCCTCAAGTTACATTTGCATACACTGCATCTGCCGACCTTAATCTGTCCCTGTCCCGCCCATGGCAAGTGAGAGTGATTGATTGAGTAGCTCACTCCACTTTTAGCAATTAATTTTTCAGCAATATCACGACGGTGAGACACAACAGTGTGCTTCACATATAATTCCCATGTAGGAATCGAACCAGGGTTGAGCATACGGTGTAACCACAAGACTACCCCACCACCCTTTGAAAGTGTGTTACGATCTAAATAGTAAAATGTAACAAAGACATAAATTGTTACGCTACTGCGGTAAACCTATTACGAATTTTAAGACAATACTGCGATAAAATGTAATAACTGTATTACAATAAATTGTCACGAATGTTATTCGGTAAATTTTAACAACTGTACTGTGGTAAATTGTAATGGCTGTACTACGGTAAATCGTAATAACTCCACTGTGGTAAATTGTCATGACTGTATTACAGTTATTGTAATGGCTGTACATTGGTAAATTGTAATAACTCCACTGTGGTAAACTGTAATGAATGTACTGCGGTATATTGTAATAAGTTTCACTGTGGTAAATTGTAATGACTGTACTACGG